TTAACCAATTAAGATAATTAATTAAAGAAATATTAAAATGAAAAATTGAATTAAATATTATTATTTTTATTCAAATAAATAATTGAAATAGAATAATTAAATATGAAATTAATAATATACATAATTAACGAAATATTTAAAGAATAAATTAAATTGAATAATAATTTTTTTAATTTAACCAATTAAGATAATTAATTAAAGAAATAGTTAAATGAAAAATTGAATTAAATATTATTATTTTTATTCAAATAAATAATCGAAATAGAGTAATTAAATATGAAATAAATAATATACATAATTAATGAAATATTTAAAGAATAAATTAAATTGAATAATAAATTTTTTACTCAACCAATTAAGATAATTAATTTAAAAAATAGTAAAATGAAAAATTGAATTAAATATTATTATTTTCATTCAAATAAATAATATATATATTCAGATAATTAAAGAAATATAATTTTTAAGGAAAATTAAATAATCAAATGTGTGGGAATTTTTTTGTTTAACTGTTTTAATATGTGATTGGATGAATCTATTTATTGTTTTGTTAATATGAAATCTGATTGGTTACATTTGAAAATACGATATTTTATTTATAATCTCTTTATAGATTTTACGACAGAGGTGATAGCACTACGAGATGAGATTGTAGTGCTGCGATGAGATATATGAGACCTTCATACTGAGGTTGTAGCACTTCGAGGCAATGTAGCAGGTTTTCGAGGTTCTGACAATAGACATGACAGAGGGAGTGTCGAGGAGACTGGTATTCCTCGAGACTAGTGGGCAACAGTAACAGGAATCGATGAGTTTTTTGATTCGGTGCCGGAGGCCGAGAGGGAAGGGGTGGAGGTCGAGCCAGAGGAGGCCGGGATGGCCAGGGTGGAGGTGTCGGAAGAGGATGAGATAGAGAGGGTGGAAGGAGGGACAAGGGTGCCGGAGGGAGGGACCGAGGAGGCAGCAGAGAGGACACTAGAGGTGGTAATAGAGGGGGATGAGGGGGTTGCGGAGGAGAAGAGGAATCCAGAGATGACGGATGACGATGTAGTATTCGTGTCGGAGGGGGCGATGGAGGTGCCGAAAGGTAAGAGGCGTGCTAATGATGCGCCAGCACTGATGGTCGGTAAGAGATCGGGATTGCCGTCACAGTACATCGTTTCCCCATACACGGTCGAGGCGAAGAGAAGGGGGTTTGTGGATGGGACGTTCCCCAATCTTTTTCGCGACGTCGACCCGGTCAGACAGAAGGCGTTCGATTATTGGTTCAAATCTCTTAAATTCGAGTAAGTATTTTATGATTTTGCTACTCTTTTTTTGTATTTATCGTAACTTTTTTTCATTTTTCAGAGATAGCTATACCATCAGCTGTATGTGTGATATCCCAAGACTTTAATAAGTTCTGTGTTGTGATGTACATTTTTTTAGTAAGTTTATAATGCGTTGTACATTTTATGTAACATAATAAAAAGTTTGTTAATTATATTATAACATTATGAAAAGAATTGAATTAAAATTTTGGTTTAAAAATCATGTGGTAAAATTGAGGAAATGAAGTGGCTACCTTTCATTAATTACCTTGCCACTCTAGACATTAAGATGACACATTGTATGGTAGGGTTAGGAAGGTGGCTACCCTACACTTATTATTTTGCCACCTTAAATACTACAAAGTCAAATAGCATGATAAGGTAAAGTGTGTCAAAATAATGATTATAGAAAAATAAATTAATTGCTAATTTAATTCCAAATCACTACTATAAATAGGGGATGGGGTGAGAAAAAAAATGAAAAAAACAAAAACAAAAGTCAAGTAACTTTACAAAGGTAGCACTTTAATTGTCTTGCAACATTGAAGGTGATTAATCTATACTTACTTTTATTCCAAACATATTTATTTCAATTATGTTTATTGGATTACTTCTTACTTTTCAAATCAATTATAGATCCGAGATTCTATCCATTGATATTGACATTGGATATTGGCATTGCATTGTATAGTGATTGATATTATTATTTTTATACCAAATTAGTGTAATTGACTATTGAGTTCATGTATTGTTATTTTCATATTGCGCGCACGGGTAAGAATTAACATCTATAATTGGGGTCCATTGTTTTCCTTACTTATTCAAATTAAAGAAAGATTATGGTATAGATTACTCGCTGAATAAATATATTCACATTTTTTTTTTGTAGATGATCACGGTCGAATACATTGACTTTACCTCTGGAGAATGGACGATTTCAGAAGATAGCAAATATTGCATGTTTGTCGAAGAAATCCACACGTGGATGACATCCACATTTTTCGGGTTTTAACTACTTTGTAGGAGTCCGCTACCACATCGACTACTTTGAAGCCACCACTATGATATACTTATTTTCGAATTGTTTTCCTGGAGAAATAATGTGTCCGAGTGGCCTTTGATGTATAAATTTTGGTACAAATCGGTTAGTTATCTTAATAAGATATGGTGCTTAGGGCGACTTTTGCATAGTGCCACTTTTGGTAGGAGAACTTTTGTAATGCAACTTTTGTATATCTACTAGTCTCTAATATACTCTTTGCAATGTAACCAAGTATATAAGAAAATTTTTAATTATCTTATATGTGCTTGCCTACTCCGTACTCGACAAATTGCCAAAAGTTTTCTCTCTTCACGAAGTATACAAAATTTTGAAATCTTTCTACATAGAATTAAATGAGTAAATTGGGATTGTGACAGTATAACCGTGTCCAACGCTAAAAAGTGGTTCGAAGATGCACTGAGAACCTCAACTTGGCTCGTTGATGATGTAAGTTTTTTAAGTTTACATTTATTATGTTTATAGAAGTTGTTGGTTCATTTACTTAAACGACTCTATTTTTTTTTTTTTTTGTTTCAGCAAATCGACTTGGCTATGGAATTGTTACGAGATCGGGCTCGGAGATACTCGAGATCTTATGACAGTCCTAGTCGAGTTATCCTGAGCTATGAGTTTGTTCGTGTCGTAGATATTGAGCATTACAAGCTCATAAGCAAGGGGAATAAATATGTTCTGTCTGAGCACATGCTAGATTGGGTGATTGGGCTACAGCTAAGGTGCAGAAAGCTGTGGACGGATTGTACACATATGTATATTCCAGTGATCGCGAACTCACTGTTTTTCAGTGGAAATCGTATTTGCTGATTCCACTATGTATGTGTACTACTCTGATCATAGCTGTCTGATACAAAGTCAACTGGAGCAAATACTGGAGCCAATGGCTGTGATCGTGCCCATGATGGCTAGTCATGCGATGATTCGAGTAAATGACAGATTAGCCATTGTGCGGAACATGACAACGGCAAGACAAGAAAGATTGTAAGGATTTAAAACTTTTTAATTTTAAGATTTAATTTTCAGTTATATGTTATCGAATTAATATATTCTTCTTCGGTTGCAGAGGCAACTGTGGCTTATTTGCAATAAATTATATAGAGTTTTTTAGCATTGGTCGCAATGTTGATACAATAAATCAGTCTTGGATTGATATGTGGAGGCATAAATTAGCTTGCAACTTGTATGAATATAATTGTGATCCTTAGTGCATTGTATATTATTTTATTAAAATGTAAATGTTGTTTATTTCAGTATGATTCGTGTTGTAATGTAATAATTTTTTTAAATATTTAATTAGAGAAATACTTATATGAAAACTCGAAGTAAGTGCTATTATTCTTATTCAAATAAATAATCGAAAAAAGTAATTAAATATGAAATAATTAATATACGTACTAAGATAATTAACAAAATGTTATTATTTTAATTTACATAAGGAATCGAAATATAACAATCAAATATTAAATAAACAATATACACATTAAAATAATTAACGAAATATAATTTTTAAAGGAATATAAATAATCAAATATACGTGCCAAATGAGGATAATTAATGAAAGAAATACTTAAATGAAAACTCGAAGTAAGTGCTATTATTTTATTCAAATAAATAATCGAAATAAGTAATTAAATATGAAATAATTAATTTTTTACTTAACCAATTAATATAATTAATTAAAAAAATATTTAACCAATTATACACAACCAATTAAATATTTAACTGCTGCAATATATTAATTATTAAATTGTAATATTTAAATCAATCCTATTTTTTATTCAAATATGTTGTAAAAAAAAGTAATTAAACAATGTGATAAAAATTACATCCGATTTAAATTGAGAAAATCAAAAACATATTACAAATAGAAAATACATATGATTTATATAGATACTACACATTCGTCGAGTCATTATTTAGTGGGATCTGACTTGTACAAAATCGACGTGTATGTCCTGTAGTGCTGCCCGCACTTACGCGATTGTGGAAACTTTCCTGTAGATGGTATTCTGGACGTCCGTCTACGACCAGGAGTATGCGATGGAACTTCAGATGGCAACAAATTATTAAGTGCTACAATATAATCAGGAACTTCCTATTCGACTTCATTTGGTAGAGGAATTATAGTTTCAATATACTTTGCTCTTCAAAAATCAGCCATGTAATAATGACTGCATAAGCTGTGTGGTGAAAATCCTCTATACATAGTCACTGCAACAGCATGAGCACATGGAAAACTCTCCAACTGAAATTGTCTACACGTGCAGGTATTGTCATTCAAGTCTACAATGTATCCAACATTACACCGGTATCTCACGGAGAAGTGAAATTGATCTAGTGATTCCAAAAATTGAGCTTTTGCCACTTCCAGAGTTTTGAATAGTCAATCTTCCTACGCCGGAGCTAGCACACTCGTGCAATTCTGGGATTCCTCACGTCGATCATAAAACCATTGTTGCAACTTGCTACGAATATGTTCAATCATTGCAAGAATTGGTAACTCTTGATTCTTCTTGAATAATGCATTGAGCGACTCCGCATTATTCGACGTCATCATGTTCTATCGACGTCCTGGAAAATGTGACCGTGCCCAATGTTCGACCCCTATATCTGATAGATATTCCCATGCACTTTCTGATTTATGTGACCGTGCCCATTGTAATTTTGAATAATTATTTAATTTTAAATTTCAT